CTGTAGCACCATTAACCCTACCCATGCTTCACTGTAGCACCATTAACCCCTACCCATGCTTCACTGTAGCACCATTAACCCCTACCCATGCTTCACTGCAGCACCATAAACCCTACCCATGCTTCACTGTAGCACAATAACCCCTACCCATGCTTCACTGTACCACCATAAACCCTACCCTTGCTTCACTGCAGCACCATAAACCCTACCCATGCTTCACTGTAGCACAATAACCCCTACCCATGCTCCACTGTAGCACCATAAACCCTACCCATGCTTCACTGTAGCACCATAAACCCTACCCTTGCTTCACTGTAGCACCATAAACCCTACCCTTGCTTCACTGTAGCACCATAAACCCTACCCATGCTTCACTGTAGCACCATAAACCCTACCCATGCTTCACTGTAGCACCATAAACCCTACCCATGCTCCACTGTAGCACAATAACCCCTACCCATGCTTCACTGTAGCACCATAAACCCTACCCATGCTTCACTGTAGCACCATAAACCCTACCCATGCTTCACTGTAGCACAATAACCCCTACCCATGCTTCACTGTAGCACAATAACCCCTACCCATGCTTCACTGCAGCACCATAAACCCTACCCATGCTTCACTGTAGCACAATAACCCCTACCCATGCTCCACTGTAGCACAATAACCCCTACCCATGCTCCACTGTAGCACCATAAACCCTACCCATGCTTCACTGTAGCACCATAAACCCTACCCTTGCTTCACTGTAGCACAATAACCCCTACCCATGCTTCACTGTAGCACAATAACCCCTACCCATGCTTCACTGTAGCACAATAACCCCTACCCATGCTTCACTGTAGCACCATAAACCCTACCCTTGCTTCACTGCAGCACCATTAACCCTACCCATGCTTCATTGCAGCACCATTAACCCTACCCTTGCTTCACTGCAGCACCATAAACCCTACCCTTGCTTCACTGTAGCACCATTAACCCTACCCATGCTTCACTGTAGCACCATTAACCCCTACCCATGCTTCACTGTAGCACCATTAACCCTACCCTTGCTTCACTGTAGCACCATTAACCCTACCCATGCTTCACTGTAGCACCATTAACCCCTACCCATGCTTCACTGTAGCACCATTAACCCCTACCCATGCTTCACTGCAGCACCATAAACCCTACCCATGCTTCACTGTAGCACAATAACCCCTACCCATGCTTCACTGTAGCACCATAAACCCTACCCTTGCTTCACTGCAGCACCATAAACCCTACCCATGCTTCACTGTAGCACAATAACCCCAACCCATGCTCCACTGTAGCACCATAAACCCTACCCATGCTTCACTGTAGCACCATAAACCCTACCCATGCTTCACTGTAGCACAATAACCCCTACCCATGCTTCACTGTAGCACCATAAACCCTACCCTTGCTTCACTGCAGCACCATTAACCCTACCCATGCTTCATTGCAGCACCATTAACCCTACCCTTGCTTCACTGCAGCACCATAAACCCTACCCTTGCTTCACTGTAGCACCATTAACCCTACCCATGCTTCACTGTAGCACCATTAACCCCTACCCATGCTTCACTGTAGCACCATTAACCCTACCCTTGCTTCACTGTAGCACCATTAACCCTACCCATGCTTCACTGTAGCACCATTAACCCCTACCCATGCTTCACTGTAGCACCATTAACCCCTACCCATGCTTCACTGCAGCACCATAAACCCTACCCATGCTTCACTGTAGCACAATAACCCCTACCCATGATTCACTGTAGCACCATAAACCCTACCCTTGCTTCACTGCAGCACCATAAACCCTAACCATGCTTCACTGTAGCACAATAACCCCAACCCATGCTCCACTGTAGCACCATAAACCCTACCCATGCTTCACTGTAGCACCATAAACCCTACCCATGCTTCACTGTAGCACAATAACCCCTACCCATGCTTCACTGTAGCACCATAAACCCTACCCTTGCTTCACTGCAGCACCATAAACCCCACCCATGCTTCACTGTAGCACAATAACCCCTACCCATGCTTCACTGTAGCACAATAACCCCTACCCTTGCTTCACTGTAGCACCATAAACCCTACCCTTGCTTCACTGCAGCACCATAAACCCTACCCTTGCTTCACTGTAGCACCATAAACCCTACCCTTGCTTCACTCTAGCACCATAAACCCTACCCTTGCTTCACTGTAGCACCATAAACCCTACCCTTGCTTCACTGTAGCACCATAAACCCTACCCTTGCTTCACTGTAGCACCATAAACCCTACCCATGCTTCACTGTAGCACCATAAACCCTACCCATGCTTCACTGTAGCACCATAAACCCTACCCATGCTCCACTGTAGCACAATAACCCCTACCCATGCTTCACTGTAGCACCATAAACCCTACCCATGCTTCACTGTAGCACCATAAACCCTACCCATGCTTCACTGTAGCACAATAACCCCTACCCATGCTTCACTGTAGCACAATAACCCCTACCCATGCTTCACTGCAGCACCATAAACCCTACCCATGCTTCACTGTAGCACAATAACCCCTACCCATGCTCCACTGTAGCACAATAACCCCTACCCATGCTCCACTGTAGCACCATAAACCCTACCCATGCTTCACTGTAGCACCATAAACCCTACCCTTGCTCCACTGTAGCACAATAACCCCTACCCATGCTTCACTGTAGCACAATAACCCCTACCCATGCTTCACTGTTGCACAATAACCCCTACCAATGCTTCACTGTAGCACCATAAACCCTACCCTTGCTTCACTGCAGCACCATTAACCCTACCCATGCTTCACTGCAGCACCATTAACCCTACCCTTGCTTCACTGCAGCACCATAAACCCTACCCTTGCTTCACTGTAGCACCATTAACCCTACCCATGCTTCACTGTAGCACCATTAACCCCTACCCATGCTTCACTGTAGCACCATTAACCCTACCCTTGCTTCACTGTAGCACCATTAACCCTACCCATGCTTCACTGTAGCACCATTAACCCCTACCCATGCTTCACTGTAGCACCATTAACCCCTACCCATGCTTCACTGCAGCACCATAAACCCTACCCATGCTTCACTGTAGCACAATAACCCCTACCCATGCTTCACTGTACCACCATAAACCCTACCCTTGCTTCACTGCAGCACCATAAACCCTACCCATGCTTCACTGTAGCACAATAACCCCTACCCATGCTCCACTGTAGCACCATAAACCCTACCCATGCTTCACTGTAGCACCATAAACCCTACCCATGCTTCACTGTAGCACAATAACCCCTACCCATGCTTCACTGTAGCACCATAAACCCTACCCTTGCTTCACTGCAGCACCATAAACCCCACCCATGCTTCACTGTAGCACAATAACCCCTACCCATGCTTCACTGTAGCACAATAACCCCTACCCTTGCTTCACTGTAGCACCATAAACCCTACCCTTGCTTCACTGCAGCACCATAATCCCTACCCTTGCTTCACTGTAGCACCATAAACCCTACCCTTGCTTCACTGTAGCACCATAAACCCTACCCTTGCTTCACTGTAGCACCATAAACCCTACACTTGCTCCACTGTAGCACCATAAACCCTACCCATGCTCCACTGTAGCACCATAAACCCTACCCTTGCTTCACTGTAGCACCATTAACCCTACCCATGCTTCACTGTAGCACCATTAACCCTACCCATGCTTCACTGTAGCACCATTAACCCTACCCATGCTCCACTGTAGCACCATAAACCCTACCCTTGCTTCACTGTAGCACCATTAACCCTACCCATGCTCCACTGCAGCACCATAAACCCTACCCATGCTCCACTGTAGCACCATTAACCCTACCCTTGCTTCACTGTAGCACCATTAACCCTACCCTTGCTCCACTGCAGCACCATTAACCCTACCCATGCTCCACTGTAGCCCCATAAACCCTACCCTTGCTTCACTGTAGCACCATTAACCCTACCCTTGCTTCACTGTAGCACCATTAACCCTACCCATGCTCCACTGTAGCACCATTAACCCTACCCATGCTCCACTGTAGCACCATAAACCCTACACTTGCTCCACTGCAGCACCATAAACCCTACCCATGCTCCACTGTAGCACCATTAACCCTACCCTTGCTTCACTGTAGCGCCATTAACCCTACCCATGCTCCACTGTAGCACCATTAACCCTACCCTTGCTTCACTGTAGCACCATAAACCCTACACTTGCTCCACTGTAGCACCATAAACCCTACCCATGCTCCACTGTAGCACCATAAACCCTACCCTTGCTTCACTGCAGCACCATAAACCCTACCCATGCTTCACTGTAGCACCATAAACCCTACCCATGCTTCACTGTAGCACCATAAATCCTACCCTTGCTTCACTGTAGCACCATTAACCCTACCCTTGCTTCACTGTAGCACCATTAACCCTACCCATGCTTCACTGTAGCACAATAACCCCTACCCATGCTCCACTGTAGCACCATAAACCCTACCCTTGCTCCACTGCAGCACCATAAACCCTACACTTGCTTCACTGCAGCACCATAAACCCTACCCTTGCTTCACTGCAGCACCATAAACCCTACCCATGCTTCACTGCAGCACCATAAACCCTACACTTGCTCCACTGTAGCACCATAAACCCTACCCTTGCTTCACTGCAGCACCATAAACCCTACCCTTGCTTCACTGCAGCACCATAAACCCTACCCTTGCTTCACTGCAGCACCATAAACCCTACCCTTGCTTCACTGCAGCACCATAAACCCTACCCATGCTTCACTGCAGCACCATAAACCCTACCCATGCTCCACTACAGCACCATAAACCCTACACTTGCTTCACTGTAGCACCATAAACCCTACCCATGCTTCACTGTAGCACCATTAACTCTACCCTTGCCTCTGTCGTAAGAACTGGTTATGTTTCAAAGTCGGGCAGCTAACCAGACAGTGTTTCCTTGCAGATGTGCGTGCAGACGTGGTGGTTGTACACAACTCCTTCTCTGGCAGTAGCGGTCGAAGCCGGGTCCTTTTCCTGAGTTGCCTCGCCCAAGACCCGACGTCTAATCTCACCAACGAAAACATTGTTCTCTGGAATTATACGACAAGTCCTTTCTTAAGCACAGGTAGTGAAAGATTTCTTGTTGGTAATGAGAGATTTTAATAACTTTTCGTAACATTCATGTCGATACACGCAGGGTTGAAAAACATGCGTTTCCACCACAGGTGGGACACAGGTGGGACACGGGAGGGACACAGGTGAAAATTGAGTGCTCAAGTGAGCCATAAAGACATTAGAAATAACTTTTTTTAGTGTCAGAGTAGTTCATAAATTGAATGCACTAGGAAGTGATGTGGTGGAGGAAGACGCCATACACAGTTTCAAGTGTAGATATGATAGAGCCCAGTAGGCTCAAGAACCTGTACATCAGTTGATTTGATGTACAAGTTGAGAGGCGGGGCCAAAGAGCTAGAGCTCAGCCACCGCAAGCACTACTAGGTGAGTACATACACACAAACTGCCTCTTCCATGGCCACTGCAATCAATCCCATCTGCTTAATCCTCCAGCCAATGCTTTTCTCTAACCCCCATCATCAACCCCCCCCCCCCCCCACAGCCGTCACCCCCCTTGGCACCTTGTAAGACCCCCTCACCTTGCGCCCCCCCCCCTAACATCTCTCCCCCTCACCTCCCCACTGCCTTCAAACACCCTTACTCTTGCCCCACTCCCATCCTAAGCCCCCGCCTTCAACTTACTCCCTTTCTACCCCAAAACCCATGCCTATCGTGCTTCTCCCATGCCCCTAGCAAATCCTTTTTCTGACTCCCAACCTCGCTCTACTTCTCAGCCCCAGTATGCCTCTCAGACCCTCCCTACCTCTCAGACCCACTATGCCTTTCAGACTGCTCTAGCTGCCCAAACCCCATTTGCCCCCCAACCCCCTGGCTATCAGAGCCCCTCTGACTCTCCCCCCTCCCTATTCCCGTACACTTCCCACCTCACAACCACATATTGGAGATAGGACTGTATCCATCTTTCACCTGCAGCACATACCATGCGAAACACGTACGCAGATGAGCAATATGAAATCTGGTAACAGAGTTCCCAAGAAGAGTCTCAAGATTTGGTTCACCAATGTGATGGGGTATTCAATAAAGTAGAGGACATAAAAGAAAGGGTTATGGAATCAGATCCTGACATAATTACAATAGTGGAAACTAAATTAAATGATATGATCTCAGATGCAATCTTCCCAGAGGGATACCAAGTGATAAGGTAAGAAAGAACACAGAGACAACGAGGGGAGTGGCACTCTTCATAAAGCGGATATGGAAATGTGAAGAACTAAAGAATTGGGGGACCAATGAAGACAAGTTCCATACATGGGGCTCTGACAGGTGATGGGAAGAGTAATGTGATCTTGATAATCTACAACCCCCCACCAAACAGTAGAAGGCCCAGGCAGGATTATTATGAAAACAACAAGACATGTATAGATGAACTGCAGAGAGCAGCAACAACAACTCGCAGAATGAAAGCGAAACTGTTAATCATGGGGGACCTCAATCACGGAAAGATCGACTCAGAATAAAGAAATCTCCACTGTGGGAAAGAAACATGGGGGAGCAAAATCAGTGGAGGTTACAGACAGAAATTTCCTAACATAACATGTGATGGAAAATACAAGGGAAAGAGGAGGGGGATACACAGGGCCTATTAGGCCTGACTTTCACACAAAATGAGGAAAACATTGTGAATATGGAACATGAAATACCACTAAGAGCCAGCGATCATTGTGTCCTAGTCTTTGACTACATGATCGCTCTTAAAATTTTGACTACGGGGCAAGAGGTCAGGAAAAGGTGAGTAAACTATAGGAAAGGGGATTACAGGAGGATAGGAGAATATCTGTGAGAAGTGCAGTGGGAAGAAGAACTAAGAGGGAAAAAGTACAAGATATGATGAACCTAGAGAAGTGGAAATGCAAGGAGGCCGAAGGAATACAGAAGGAGTATATACTGAAAGCTATAAGGAAATCTGAGAGGTACTGAATGCCAGTTTCCATGGGGTGTTCACAACCGAGTCTGAGCAGCTCCCATTGTTAGAAGAGGAGATGGCAAAAGATGAGAGACTAACAGATATAGAGGTGACAGCAGAGCAGGTAATGAAACAGCTAACAACAATGGATAAAACTAAAGCAGTTGGACCAGACAAAGTATAATCTTGGATACTAAAAGAGACAGCACAGACCCACAGCGTGCCTCTAGAAAGGATCTATAATGAGTCACTTACGAAGGGAGAATTGCCCAGTTGCTGGAAGAAGGCACATGTGGTACGAATTTTCAAGAAAGGAGATAAGGAAGAGACACTTAACTACAGACCTGTATCACTGACAAGCATCCCCTGTAAAGTACTTGAAAGAATAATCATGTTAAGACTGGTTACACACCTAGAGAAAATGGTGAATCCAACTAGATGAGTACAACTAGGTGACTAAGTGAATACACACAGTGATTTTAGGAGGATTGGAAAATATGAGAAAGACAAGAATCGCCCTTAACGGGAAACATTTCATGTAGTGAAACAGTGCTTAGAAATGCAAGGGAATTGAAATGATGGGGATGGGAAATCTTGGTCATTAAGACAAAACCTCTCAAAGGAACACAGAGAAAACCTGCAAACAATACTCGATGAAGCGAAACGTCTAAATGGTAATATAAATAAAGAAGAAGAAATAGAAATTTCTACAAAGTGATACAGAATGGAAGGCCAGTGAAATGGTATATAAAATTAAATCGATAAAATCATTAGAAGAAGGGGGATGTAAAGGACAAAGGAAGAGGGAACATGTTCCTGAAAATTGTATATACCGACATAGATGGAACGAGATAAAAATACTGAAGCTAAAATATATAATTCAACTTAAGGTCCAAGATACAGTTGCATTAACTGAGGCAAAACTTGAAATATTTTAAATGAGTTTGTATTCGCAAGGGACTACTCAGCTTGGAGACATGACAGGATAACTAGGAAATGGGAAGGAGTGGCTGTGCTGGTGAAAGAACACCAGAAGGTAAGAGAGTTAATAATCGACAACCCTTGTGAAGTTGACATAATGGCATTGCAATTTTGGAATCAGGATGATAAACTGATAATCGTAAATGCCTACAGCCCACCAGCATGCAACACATGGACAAAGGACTCTACATGAAAAACAAGAGAGTCTCATAATGGTCCTAATGGAGATGATAGCAAAAGCAGATAAAGGTAAATCGTGATTGTTGGTACTGAGGGACTTCAATTTGAAAGCAATAGACTGGGAGGCCTACAAAGCAAGAACAGAGGACATTTGGACAGGCAGATCTGTAAACCTCATTCTAGAGATAATCGTGTATCAACACGTCATGCAGGCTACGAGAAAGAGGGAAGGGAATGTTCCATCAATACTGGTTCTAATATTCCCCAGGAAAGAAAAGGATATATTTGACAACCAGTACCTTCCTTCCTTCCTTCCTTCCTTTCTTCCTTCCTTCCTTCGTTCCATCCTTGGGAAAGAGTGATCATGTCCTATTGGAAATAAAATATGCTGTGCTATATGATCTAGAAGTGAATGGGGACATTGAAAGTTGATTAACTTGATTTCAAAAGAGGACACTACACGGAATTTCGCAAATTCTTTAATGAATGTAATTGTACAGACTTGTTGCTAGGTAAGGAAGTAAATGAGCTGTATGCCAAATTTTGGCAAAATATACAATGAAGGCACATAAACATTCATACCAAAACAGAGATGCAGGACCAAAAAACAGGATTGGTTCAACAGAAATTGTGAGATGGGCCAGAGAGGAAAAGACAAGAAAATGGGTTCAATAAAGGAAGAAGCCTAACCCTCAAACATACCAGCACTACAAGCAAGCAAAAAACAATTACACAACCGTGAGAAGAGAGGCAGAAAGGAACTTTGAGAAAAGTCTAACAGACAAAAGTAAAACAGATCCAAGCCTTTTCTAAAAATTTCTTAACAGCAAGCTGCATGTAAAGGATAAAATCCAGAGATTAAGAACTGGGGAATAGGATTATTGAGAATAAAAAAGAAAAATGTGAAGCGCTAAATGAACAGTTCCAAATTGTGTTTGTACAAAATGAGGATTTCAGAGAGTAGGACCAATCGCCAATTCCAGAGTACACCATAGAATACATATAGGTATCTCAAGACGAAGTGGAAAAATTACTCAAGGGACTAGGAGGAAAAAAGCAGTTGAACCATATTGAGTTTCACCATGGGTGCTGCGAGAATGTGCAACTGAGCTGAGCATTCCACTCCAACTGATATTCCAGACATCCTTGTGCACAGGAATCGTAGCAGATATTTGGGAAAAGGCAAACAGTTCCAATCTATAAAACTGGTTGCTGAGAAGAATCTCTGAATTATTGACCGGTATCATTATTAACAAGCATTGTAGTCAAAACACTAGAAAAATAATTAAAACCAAATGGGTTGAACATCTGAAGAGTAATGACATAATAACAGAGAGAGAGAATTTGGTTTTTGAACAGGAAGATCCTATGTAACAAATCAACTCAGTTTTTATAATAGAGCCACAGAGATTCCACAGTAAAGCCACAGAGATTCTACAGTAAAGAGATGGTTGAGTTCACTGTGTCTATCTGGACAAAAAAATAGACTTTTGACAGAGTCCTACAGAAGAGTTTAGTTCTGGAAACTAGAACATGCTTGAGGGGTGACAGAAAGACTTCTGACATAGATGAAAATTTTTATAACTGCCAGACAGACGAGGGCGGTAATCAAAGACAATGTATCTGACTGGTGGAGTGTTACTAGCGGAGTACCACAGGGTTCAGTTCTGTTCATCTTCTACGTAAATGATCTACCAGAAGGAATACAGAATTATATGAACATGTTTGCGGATGATGCTAAGATATTGGGGAAGATAAGAGACGCAGATGATTGTAATGACCTTCAAGTTGATCTAGATAAAATAAGTGCTTGGTGCGTCACGTAGCAAATGGAATTCAATGTAAATAAATGCCATGTTATAGAATGTGGAATTAGATAAAATAAACCACACACAACTCACAAATTATGTGGAAAAAATTAAAGA